CAAGGACGCTACTAGGGGCTCCTGGCATCGCTACTAGGAGCAAGAAGCTACTAGTAAGAGCGCACCTGCGGGGCTGTTGATCGGCCTGAGGCCGGTGCCCAGCCACATGGAATGCTGGTGGATCTCGCAAGTCGCCAGTGCACCTTGAGCCAAGAAATCTGCAAGAGTGCATTGCTTCTTGCACTGGAGGTGCTCCAGCAAGCGAAGGAATACAAACACAAGGGTTTGTCGGAACGAGGATTTGAAGCGTGCATTTTTGAGTTGCATCATGACTCATGACAGTTGAAATGCGCGCACTATCGCAATATGTTGTCCACCAATGCCAGGCTTCGGCTTCAGATGCTTCAGTGACCACGGTGAAATCAAAGATGTGGTCCGCCACAACGCTTTTCGCAGAGGCACAGCACATTCTCTTTTTTGGCATCCCTGCCCTTGGGATTCCTGAACTTCGATTCTTGGCAGTTCGTAGCGATTCTTGGGCCCCGTCGGGGCCGTCAATGCAATCGACTATGGGGGAAGAATGTTGTAGTCGATCGTTGCCTAGTGGCTGGCTACAATATCCCTGTATAAGTTTCAGCTGCCGGGCTGGCTCACTGTCTCATTTTGTTTCTTCTTGTGTTTTCTTGATGCTTGCTCGTTGGCGATGGCAAGAAGCTCCCCAAGTGTATGATGGCAGAAGGTTTTGGCGCAAGCAGCAGTACAGTAAACTCCCATGAGGCGCACAATGGTAATTAGCCCGTGGTCCGTCGGATTCAAAAACGGTGAGAAGGAAAGGCATGAATAGGCATGTGAGCGATGTGAGCGTCTAGCTGAGTGTTCCTCAAGACACAACGTTTCTTAGTTATACATGCTTGAAACGACTAGTAGCAATGGCCTCCAACCTAAGCACAATGGCCTACTAGCTCTGGCCTTCAACCCAATAGCCATGGCCTTCAACCTAATAGCGATGGCCTTCAACCTAATAGCGATGGCCTCCAACCTAGTCGCCATGGCTTCCAACCTAGTCGCGATGGCTTCCAACCTAGTAGCGATGGCCTCCAAACGACTAATGTTGTTTGGATGTGCTTCCCTGATGTTGGTTTCAGGCAGGTGATTTCATGCAGGAAAAGAGTTCCGCAGTGCTTCAGAACAGTAAGTTACCGGAGGTTTCCAGAGGACTTGACGTTCGTTGTGAGCTGCTACGAAGATGATGTTCATTGTGACCGCGCAGGGTGCCACGCTAAATCTCCGGACCCAGTTGACCTCAACTGGGTTCAACTGGGTCAACTGGGTCCGGAGATTTAGCACGGCCCCCTGGTCAACTGGGTCCACCACCACCACCACCACGACTGCGACTACGACTACGACTACGACTGCGACTCCTACTACTGCTACTACTACTACCACTACTACTACCACTACTACTACTGCTACTGCTACTGCTACTGCTGCTGCTGCTGCTCCTACTCCTACTCCTACTCCCACTCCTACTCCTACTGCTGCTCCTGCTACTGCCACTGCTACGGGTCAACTGGGACCATCGTGTTGGATGGAGGCAGTGGGTCAACTGGGTCAACTGCTTTAGTGCGCACCACTTTTCAACTGGGTCCACTGCTCCTCCTCCTGCCGCTGCTGCTACTACGTATCAACTGGGCCGACTGTCTGGCAACGACCACTACTGGGCATGCCCGATCAAGGATGGATCCCTACTTGCTAGGTGTAAAATAAGGTAGTCTGAGCAGTAAGAATCAAGCTCAACACCAGGGTTCCCGTGTTGAGCTTGGATGGGATTCCGCAACTGCGTTCCGCGCGCGCGCGCGCCTAAATCTAGGGCAGACCGGGAGCCAGCAGGACGCGCGCGCGCGCGGACCCAGGGTAGCTACCGCTGCACTTTTACTATTTCTCTTCAAGCAAAAGGCCCGGGGCTGGCAAAAGGATAGTTAACAAAAAAGTATGTGATGCCTATCGAATGTCCAATTACGAAAGCCAGCCTTCGTAAAAGGTGCCAGCTGAGTTGTGCTTGGCGAACGAAGTGAGTAAGTAGGGGGTGTGGGGGGGTGGCCTGAGAAAGGGCTACGTAGACTTCAAATTAGGTGGTGTTTAGGGGTCCACCGAAGTAAGGTTTTTGAGGTTGTTTTGGAGGTGATTCTTTGTGATTTTTGAGAAGCATCATTTGCATCATCTGAATGGTAAGGTGTAGTTTTACAGAGGCCGATGGTAAAGGTGGCTTTCGTTTTGCAGCTTCTTGGGTGATTCAGCTTCAGTGGACTCCCTCCACTGACAAAAAATGTGTTTCTGCGATGCGTGCGCAGGGATATTTTCCAAGGGCTAATTATCTAAGATCTTGTGTTTCATCAGTGATGCAATCGCACTGTTTACATACCAAAGGTCTAGGATTCAAAAACTGGCAGTGGAGCATTTGATGCACGCCGAAGAAAAACTCATCATCTAAGCCATGGAAACTGCACGACAACAGCCCTAAAACAAAGGCGTCGTCCTTCGATACCTCGTCGGACAACGCAATAAAGCAAGGGCCCAGTAGACAGTTTGCCAACAGTTGAAACCTTCGCAGTAAACCCGCAGCGTCACCCTTGGAATCTCCAGCAGCCCCCTGCAGCACCGTTTGCATTCCTGTCCCCAGAGATCCCCAGAGGCTGTCGGGTGGCTGTTCAAGCTTTTGGTGAGTTGCCGGGATCTCTATTTCATTGCTTCGAGTTGTTCTCTTGGCATAGAGGTATTTTACAAAAATATTCTTCTGCATCTACTAGCCATCGCTATTAAGTTGGAGGCCATTAGGGTGGAGGCATCGCTCTTTAGGTTGGAGGCCATTGCCATTAGTCTTCAAATTGTCCTCTTCGCATAGATGCAGTTTTCAGAAATTTTCTTCTGCATCTACTAGCCACCTATTAGGTTGGAGGCCATCGCTACTAGGGTGGAGGTCATCGCTAGTTGGGTGGAGGCCATTGCTCTTAGGTTGGAGGCCATCGATCTTTGGCTTCAAATTGTCCTTTTGGCATAGGGGTATATTTAATTCTTCTGCATCTACTAGCCATCGCTAATCCATCGCTTCTAGGGTGGGCTACTAGGGTGGAGGCCAACGCTACAAGGGTGGAGGCCATCGCTCTTAGGTTGGAGGCCATTGCTAAATATAGGCTGAATTGTTTTCTTGTCATAGAGGTAGTTTTCAGACATCTTCTTCTGCATTTACTCGCCACCGCTATTAGGTTGGAGGCCGTTGCTATTAGGCTTAGAATTGTCCTCTTGGCATAGAGGTAGTTTTCACAAATCTTCTTTTGCGCCTACTAGCCACCGCTATTAGGTTGTTGGCCATGGCTGATAGGCTTCAAATTGTCCTCTTGGCGTAGAGGTATTTTTCAGAAATCTATTTCTGCTAAGGGGCCATTGAACCCACTAAGCTTGTTCCGTGAACAACTGGCTGGCCCCTGGTAGCTGTGGTTGAAAATCAGAGTGGTCTTTCAATGTGCCAAAATAGCCTTAGTTGGTAACCGTTTGGGCTTACCGGCAAGGCACTGTCTCTTAGACCTCATGGTGTCATTCGGTGCCATCATCCCTTTGGTATCATGGGTAGTTCCAATTGGTTTGCAAGGAGAGCTTTGCGCTATGCATCTGATGCGGGAAGTGGATTACAATTATCATCATGTGGAACACCATGTGAGGGAATTCTACATCGCCTCATCCATTGAAGAGACCACAGCGCTTGCCGCTGAAGCAGCTTCTGAGATTTCGAGTGTCTTGTTCTGGAAACGTTGGCGTCGAACGGCCTCCAAACTACTTGCGATGGCCTCCAACCTAATGAAAAGATTGATTTGTGGCACACCATTATTTTTTGCGTCAATAACATTGTTCCCCTGAGTTTGCTTAGGCGATTGCGACGAATTTTACGACTCCACGATGAAAGCTGCCAAGAGTTACTCCAACGATGCTCGTTGCAAGTGGTTTGCTGTGCTGTTTTGGAGCAACAATTGCAGCTTTTCTGAGGATACCCGCGACTGTCACCCGCTTCGTGACATGACAGACCGCCACTAGAAGCTAAAGTTCGTCCAAGCGACAATTTGCTCAAAAGTGCTATTAGGTTTGGAGGCCATCGCTATTAGGTTGGAGGCTATCGCTATGTGCTTAAACATTTTGCCTTGTTCTTTGTTATTGGTTTCTTTTTCTCGTGGCTTGTTTCTCGGCAAGGCGAGTGGTTGGCCCTGACACACGGCAGCTGTGATTATAATACTATTTTTTTGAGAGTTTCAGACTGCCATGCACTGACACTGCCCGTTCGTGATTCGGCAGGTTCGCATTTCTCATGTCCGCAGGTGTACCTTTAGCCAGCTTTCGAGCTTAGAAAAGGGGCGAGTGCATGAGCACGCACTTCGCTGTGTTGGCAGCGGGGCACAGACTCCGGGCGCCTTCCTTGCACCGCCATGCCCCTGCTGCGCGACACGGCGCCGCTGGCCCACCAACGGGACTACCTCATGATCCTCCTGGTTCACCTCCTGATGGCTCACCTCAAGGTTCACCACATGGCCCCTCAAGGACACCTTCCAGGTTTGAGAGATCACTCAAGGCACCCTCACAACCACACCTCCCGCCTCCCGGAAGCTGACCACGGTGATCCACATCGAGCAGCTGGAACACCGTGGAAGGGCTCATGGAGTCCGCTACCGCGGCAGACAGCCGCCCCAGCCGCCAGGCTGGCACCAGGACAAGAACGATCTCGCCGCCTTCGGGAAGTGGAAAAAGAGGATTGAGATGTGGGCATTGCAGGTTGTGAACTATGTCCCAAAGCGCGAGGCCGGCATCCTTCTCTTCGGTCGCAAGAGCATCAGCGCCAGATCCTCATATTGGCACAGGCCAATCTCTCGAGTTCGACACCATCAAGGACGTCCTGCTGGTCTGATGGCCTGAGCACAAGTCATTGCCACCACCTCTTCATCAACCCGGTGGGAAAGGTTTTCGAGGAGGCGCACCGCCACCACTTAGCGGGAAAGGCACCCTATAGATGGGGTTAGACTAGTTCCTGCCTAATAGTCAATTCCATAGTTAACTCTAACTTTTTAACTATTAGTTAAAAATGCTTTTTGTATAAAGAGATAATTTTTCAAATTGTATATTGACTATTCTACTCTAATTTTTGAGTTAACTATAAAATTGCCCCTGGAATTATAGTTGAAAATAAGGCAAAACTCATTCATTTCCTTCCAAAAAATCTCACACACTAGATGTCCATGATGTCCAAACAATCCTAGATGTCCAAACAATCCTAGCTGAGCATAATTCCTTTTCTCATGTGCCCACAAGCTTGGCAAATGCTAGTCAAAAGGCAAGAGTTCGCCTCCACCTCGCCAGACCTTCATCACTGAGGCCAATGAGACCGACCTCAACTTGGAGGAGCCCGACGCAGACCCAGACCCAGAAGAGCCTCCAGCGCAGAAGGACGATGACAATGAAGTGGCTTCGCAGCCCGACGAAGAGGAGCCACTGGAATGGGACGAAGATGAACCTGAGGTCGCGCAGATCCTCACGGTCACAGCACGGAAGCTCGCGGGAGTTCTTCAGGCCCGCAAGTATCGATCCTCATCGACCTCTACCTCCATGCCCAAGCGGTCGATCTCCGACCGGAAGAAGACGACACACTGCTCAGCGTGCGGAGTTCAAGGACACTGGGCAGGAGACGCTGAATGAACAGTTAGTGCAAAAGGCAAGAGCTCTGGCAAAGGCACCAAAGCCGGCAACCACTATACGGTGGGCACGATGACGAGGATGAGCCTGAACACACGGCCCACTCTGTTTTTGTCTCACAGTGCCCAACCGACGAGATCTGCTTGACGGATGCGACAAAAGCTCCTGGTCACATCATCCTCGACACCGCGGTTGTGTGCAGGTCGCAGTTGGTCGGAGGCGCAAAAGCACCAGATGAAGTCATGGTCTATCACCCCCTTCGAGCTGGACACCTCAGAGTACTTTGAGTGAAAGGTGCTCCGATCCACTCGACCTGGTCAATTTTTGTGCGTAATGGCACCCTGCATCCTCGAAGCCCAGATCCCATGCCCAACCAACCGTCGAATTCGACTCACCTCAGGGACACCTCACACAGCGAGGGCCCCAGCACGAGGCGCATGGACAACACCGGTGCCAGAAACACCACCTTTACCCGTACGACAACCGGCGCCAATTGCACCACCTGCAGCTGCACTGGCAGGAGAGGCACCACAGGCAGCGCAGCAGCAGCAACAAGGCAGTACAAGTCAACAGGCAGAACAAATACCACCGGCACAAGGCTCTGCAAGGCATTATTCAGAGTCGACCACAACTCAATTCTCTAGCTCACGCACGGGCACAGCAGAGGTACCGGCAGCAGCAGACATACCGGCAGCAGCGGCAAGCACAGAACAGACCGCACTGCCCACGCTTCCACAGAAGCGAACACATGAGGCAACGCTAGCAACAATGCCCGGCAGCATTGAACCACCGCACCATACATGGCACCTTCGCGCAAGCTTCACTATCAGTTCTGCGCGCCGACGGCAGACCTCACCAGCACCCAGGAAGAATCAGATGCTGAATCTTCAGGTCTTGATGCCACGGACCCAGCATCACGGCTGATGACCCGAAAGGAAGGAAAAGCGCTGGAGCGCGAAATCGCGTGGCGGGAGATTGAGATCATGAAGGCGCCAGACAAGGACATCATGTCCTATGTGGCCTCAGCTCAAAAAGAAGAGAAGGGCTGGATGACCTGGGGCTCAGTGGAAGCCATACCAGATGATGAAGCGGCCGCCATTTTGGCCAATCCTGTGCAGAAGCGCAGCGAAGCAGGGATTGCTATCGCAACAAAAGCCACATTCCCACCCGCCAAGACAAGAGTGGTCGCGCTCGGAGATCCGGATTTGCGTGGTCTCAAGACGGCAGGAGCAAATGGCCTGAAGGAAGAAGACCCAATCTCATTGATTAGCGCAGCAACCGATCTGCAAGAGTTTGCAGGTCAACCCTCGCCAGCGAGGCGATGTCCTGCGACGACTGCGTGGATCGCAGCTACTTCGCAAACCTGATGCTCAGCGAGCTGCTCACAGGTGAGAAACCAAAGAAGGACTTGAGTTCTTGGCGGCTCCACCAACTGCAGGTCACAGACTGCAAGAGCCTTCACGATGCCATCTCAGCTGAGCATCCACGCACTACTGAGAAGCGCGCGTACGTGGATCTGAGAAGCATCCAGCAATTCATTTCTGCTAGCACCTCCAATGGGCTGATAGCCTGACAAAGGCTACAAAGCAGCTGAGAGAGGTGTTCAGGGCATGGCTCAATGCCCCGCCCAACTGGTGAGCCCGGAATCACGACAGAAAAAACACACCAGTGAGGGTTTCAGACCTGCCACGCACTGACACAGCCCGTTCGTGATTCGGCGGGTTCGCATTTTTCATGTCCGCAGGTGCACCTTTAGCCAGCTTTCAAGCTTAGAAAAGGGGCGAGTGCATGACCACGCGCTTCGCTGTGAGTTTTGGTTGGTTGGTTAGTTGGACCGAAGCATTGAACTGGTTTACTCCGTTTACTCCTCCCTCATGTCCAACTCTTCTTCAGGTATTGGCAGAGCCAGATGCGGTCTTGCTGAAGCTACACGGCACTACATGCAACTGAGTTGAAGAGATAAGAAAAACACTTGTTTTCGCCACATTGCAACAGCCGCCAATCCTAGGCAGATTGCCAATAACATCTCCGTGCAGTCCAGCACCTTGGAAGCATTGGAAAGGTTGGGTTCTTTGGCTGGTTCCATGCCAGGAAGGCCAGCAGTAAACATATACGGCGGCAGGCTCATAGGTGCAGGAATTTGTTTCATCCATGATTGTCCTATGGACCGGAGATGCAGGAGTTCTAGGTGTTTTTCTTTTGTTTCCGCAGTTTGCTGGGGGCTTGCCGACTTCGCAAAACACCAACCTGTAGACCAAGGCAAAGTGCAGGTGTCTGTGCTTGTGGCTTTGGAGCAACAAATCTTCAATAACTTGGTGCACGGCCAGAAGGCCGAGAACATGCACCACGCCTGGAGAGAGACAGAAACTGAAGCGAATGACTGACAGAAAAGAAAGGGTACCTGTATGAAAGACGGCGACAATTAGACAAAGCGGTTCCATAGAAAGAGTACCTGAACGCGGTTCCTATTAAGTTAGAGGCCATCGCTACTAGGGTGGAGGTCATCGCTACTAGGGTGTTGGCCATCGCCATTAGGTTGGAGGCCATCGCTACTAGAGTGGAGGCCATCGCTATTAGGTTGGAGGCCATCGCTACTAGGGTGGAGGCCATTCCTATTAGGTTGGAGGCCATCGCTACTAGGGTGGAGGCCATCGCTACTAGGGTGTTGGCCATCGCTACTAGGATGGAGGCCATCCCTACTAGAGTGGAGGCCATCGCTATTAGGATGGAGGCCATCGCTACTAGGGTGGAGGCTATTGCTATTAGGTTGGAGGCCATCGCTACTACTGTGGGGGCCATTGCTATTAGGTCGGAGGCCATCGCTACTAGGGTGGAGGCCATCGCTACTATGGTGGAGGCTATCGCTACTAGGATGGAGGCCATCGCTACTAGAGTGGAGGCCACCGCTATTGGGTTGGAGGCCAATCGCTACTAGGGTGGAGGCCATCGCTACTAGGGTGGAGGCCATTGCTCTTGGGTTGAGGGCCAGTGCTGTTAGGTTGGAGGCCATCGCCACTAGGGTGGACCATCGCTACGGTGGAGGCCAGCGCAACTAGGGTGGAGGCCATTGCTATGAGGTTGGGGGCCCTCGCTACTAGGGTGGAGGCCATTGCAATTAGAATGAATTCGCAAAGAAATATAAATCTAGCTGATGATGATGACGACGACGATGATGATGATGATAGCTTCGACTCACCTTCCAAGGCCCGCACCTCCAACGCAGCAGATTCTTGAGAGGTTTATATCGGCGGCGCGTGTATGGTCCATCTTTGCACAGGGCTTGGAGGAAGCCGTTCACGAAGATTATCTTGATAAGGCCGGGCATGTGGAAACAATGTCAACACGCGGCGTGTTACAGTAGTTCCTGGCCTTACTACTGGGAACAGGAAGCTACTCCAAGCTTCTTGTTCCTAGTAGCTATTAAGGCCAGGAACCCCTAGTAGCGTCCTTGCTCCTAGTATAGCGGTGCCCTTTGTTCCTAGGAATCAACTCCTTGGCATTGTGTCCAGGTCCTCACGTTCTCCTTCGTGCGTGTTCCACTCATGTTCGTCCGGCTCGCTTCTGATTTGCTCCCGGTTTTGCTTGGCCTCCTCGGTGCTGCTGTTTGTTGTTTTGCTGTTGGTGCGACAAAGAGCGCATACACCTGCTACTGTTGCTCCATGTTGAAAGGAAGCGCTTCAAATGCTCGCCCTTTCGCATGGCCACAGCTAATAAGCCATTTCCGTCAGTCCTGGACATTTAAAAGCATACATCGCTTTTTTTTTTGCACAGCAGAACTTGCCTGATTTTTGCAGGACTTTTGATTGCGGATCAGCAGTCTCTCCCAGCCAAAGTCAGATAACTTAACCTTTGTTTTCAACAAAGCGTAAGCTCTGCGCAGTTTAGGTTTAAACAGTAAATATTGTTACCACAAGGCCTTGGCTTGTTAAAAGCAAGCCATTATGTTGGAGGCCATCTCTATTAGGATTAATAGGTGGAGGCCATCTCTAGTAGGTTGGATGCAACCGCTCTTAGGGGAGGAGTTCTTTTTTTGTTTGTTCACTCTCAGCCTCCACTAAAGTCGCTGATCGCCTTGCGGGCTTAGCTTTTTGCCGCGAGAAAACCCGTGCGAGGCTACTAGTAACTAGTAGCAAGGACGCTATTAGGTGGAGGCCATCGCTAGTAGGTTGGAGGCCATTGCTACTAGAAACAAGAAGCTATATACTAGTAGCAAAGGGCATCGCTACTAGGAACAAGGACGCTATTAGGGGCTCCTGGCCTTGCTACTAGCAACAAACACAGCACGTTGGATGGTTTTCTTGGTGAAGACATTGTCCTGATTGTCCGCCCGCGCAAGCGCGCGCTCAACCCCCGAGCTTAACAGTTTCAAACAGTTGTCACCCGAACCGTAGATTTGATCGAAGATTGGTTGTCAACAGAATGATGGACCTAGTTTTTGAAACTGACTCGAGTTTTGACGTGCAGGCGTCCGTCCTGAGTGCTGGATGCCAATATTTAAGTCGAAACATGTTGTTCAGTGCTAGGTTGGAGGCCACCTCGACCTCCCTAAGTCCAGTGATGTCCAGTGCATGCTAGGCGAGTATTCAGGCACAGCTGACCTTAACCAGTTCTATGGTGGATGATTTGACAGAGGCAATGGAGCCCCGGCCGGAGTTCATGTACAGCTGTGGCAGAACAGCATAGACCTTCTTAACGGGTGTGTCTTCTTGCTTTTTGTAGAAAGAGCTAGCTAGAGAGTAACAAGCGTTTGTGACCCTAAGTCTACCTTTGTCGTGTAGCTAAGTCTACACATGTCAATTGTCTTGGCCCAAACGCTGTGAATTAAGGCGCTGCAACTTCAGGCTAGCGAAACTGCTGGAATGAACGTTCAACTTGCGATCATGGATCTCACACACAGGCGCGGTCTGGTGGCATGGTGTAGCATGGTGGGGGGCAGTGGATGAATTGCTGTTTTTATTACTACTAGCGTCCTTGTTCCTACTAGTAAGGCACTTGTTACTAGAAGCGATGCACTTGTTACTAGTAGCTTTATTATTATGTTGTTTTTCTGTGCCTTTATGTTCTTTGTCCTTTTTTGAAGCCCGTCCTTAATTAAGTAGGCGCCTAGCGCTCGCACTAATGATTTGGTTCCTACAGTAGATTTTATTGCATTTTCCTGTCTTCGCGTGACGTTATGAATCTGTGTGCAATCATCCGCGAGTGTTTGCATGGTGGGCATTTTTGAACGAAACGCACGTTGAAGCGTGCCATGAAAAAGAGTGTCCAGCAAGAGTGTGGAACCAAAGTGTCCTTGAAGAGTGTCGCACAAAAGTGCCCCACAAGAGTGTCCTGGAAGAGTTTCCTACAAGAGCCTCGCAGAATGTCCTAGACAAGTGTCAGACAAGGTGCCCTGCCAATATGTGTCAAGCAAGAGAAGAACAAGTCTGTGATTTTCCAGTAGTCCTAGTGTGGCTACTAGTAGCTAGAAGCTTCCTTGGGAATCGTTTCACTTGTAACAAGAAGCTACTAGTAACAAGGACGCTATTAGGTGGAGGCCATCGGGTTCGTAGGCACCCGGGTTAGTAGGTTTCATATTGCTCAAGCACATTGGCGCCGTTTGTTAAAGTGCACGGCCCAATAGGTGCAGGGTGAACGCTGCAAACGGACGCGGGTTCCCACCCTGTCTAGGGAGGCCATCGCTAGTAACAAGGGCATCGCTACGAACGTAGCTCCTGGCATTACTACTGGTAGCAAGAAGCTACTGATGAGGTTGGAGGCCATCGCTTCTAGGTTGGAGACCATGGCTATTAGGTTTGATATTGTTGTTTTCCCTTTTCCATTTTCAGCCTTGAAGCAGCTGCAGGCAAAAGCTGGCGTTTCATGAACTCCCAATACAGGCCTACGAGGCCCTCTGGAAGCAAAACAGCTTGGAGGAGGAGAAGTGCCAGCTGAAAGTGTCAAATCATACATTTTTGCTCAGAAAGGCGCAGCCATGTCCAAGACTGGCGAGTATCATAGCATCGGGCTAACCCACCCGCCCACATGTAGGACACAACAAGTAGAGCTGCTCCTACTAACTCCTACTCCTACTCCAAGAGGTGCTCCTCGTGAGCAAAGAAATGATGTCCTCACTGACCCTGCTCCAACAACTACCACAACGACCACTGCTACAACTCTTTGCTCGGGGACTGTTTGCTCCTACCATCACTACCAGACCCCCAGCTGCTGGTGCTGCTGATCACGAAAGCTAGCATCAGCTAGCTGGAGTTGTTCTTGCTTTAGCAAGTGAGGGGCTGGAATACTCGAGAGCGCCGCATCGCGTGAAAACTCCATATATGGGGGGGTGACACGAAGTGCAATGCAGTGGAATTTTGTTGGAAAGAACACGGTCTCGAGAGAGGTCCAACGGACGAAGCTCGGACAACGAGTCAAGTGCAGCGTCGCACGTGAAAGCAAGCGGCTTTTCCAGTCTTGAGCCAAATGTGTCAGTCATGTACATACATAAGAGGTGAGGCCAGACAGAGGTTAGTCTTCAGAAAAAGGAAACACAAAACAGACACTTGGTCGATATTGACGTCAAGGTTTAGTACTTAAATAAATATTCATTCTCTTTTTCAAGAGTTCTTATTGAGATCCAGCTATGTACAGAGAACATATGTACAAGTCCCTAGCGCGTTTGCCGCCATAAGTTGGTTTCACCAGGGAGCGCATCCTCTCATCATTGCATATTATTTGCATCACACCAATCATTAATCAGGAACGAGGCAGCGGGGTTCCAGGGGGTGACTGCACCCGTGGAGGCTGAATTTTTGAATTTGGAATAGTAGATCCATTAATTTAGGCCGCTGTATGCCAATCAGCAGTCATCAAATTAAAGGCACACTCACAGCTGAGCCTGGACAATCTTTGCCAAAGCCTCAGAGAAGCCAACCGTGCACATCTGAGATTCAACCAGCATCCCCTTCTTCCCAGTAAATCCATTGTTTTCATTCCGTGTGGTCAGAGACTCTGACATAGAAGGCTTGTCTCGTCTCATACCTTGCAAGTCCAGACTTGAAGTCAGTATCAACGGCTTGCAGGTGACACCAAGTAGGTGTGAGTTTGGCCTAGGTTGAAAATTTGATCACACTGTGCTCATCATTGAACTCGAACTCGGTTGCTCCAGGCGGACATGGTGCCCAAGTGCCAAGGCAATTGCCATGAGCATCGAATGAAGGATCATAAGTGGATTTCCTGTTCTCACAAATTCCCTCGATGTGTCCCCCATGAAGTTGTTGGCCTCATTCTGACAGGATTTGGAAACACTCAAGCAAACAAAGTTGCTGCATTCTGGCGCAAACGACAAGAAAGATCCAGCACCACAGCAACAAAGACATAGGAGCCACAATTGTACGTAGCCCTTGGGAGGTGAGCACATTGTGATTTGACAAATATTCTTTATCAAGAGATGCCACTTTGAACTTTCTTCTGATGAATGCCCTGGACTAATTTCCATAGCCAGGGAGTTGGGATGCTTTGGACTCCATATTGGAAATCGCAAGTTCACAAATGATGGACAACTGTGCCAGAATCGGCTTGCCAAACAGGAGGTCTCTCATCCCCATGCCCAATACTTGAGGCCAAATACTTGCAGATCCACCCATGCCCTTGTCATAGTCCAGTCTCTCACTTTTTCAAGACGGCTTTGGGAGGCAGGGGTCGTGCACCTGAAAAACAGGGAGCCATTGAGTCAACACATGACATGTGACACATTGTTTTGTTGCACATTTTCCCTGCCTTCTGAAAGTGGCCAGGGGCCCAAAAAAGGACACGTCAATGTGGGAAGCATCATGAAAGCGCTTCTCAACTTCCATCTCTGCCTCATCCAGTGCCAGATTTGGGACAACGGAAGCTTCCACGATACCCACCTCAGCCTCGGCTGTAGTTGGGTCAGTGGCTTCCGGTCGACTCAAATCAGCAGCAGCCATTCTTCCCTCCTTCTTCTTCTTCTTCTCAAAGCTTCTGGTAGGCATCATATTGGACATTGACATAAGTGCCAGCCATGGCAAGATGGGTGTCTTCACCATGAGCGCAAAGATAGGCAGCTTCTTTCACTATGTCATAGCTGAAAATTCCACACTGTATCAACCAAATCAACATCTACTTAGGAACATCAATGTTTCACACCTACTCAAGTATACTGAAAAGAACATCAATCAATGTGTCGTTTCAACTTCACAAATGTCAAAGTCAGACAGCAGAACTTTTCCACTCACCTTCGACGCCGGTTGTAGTCCGTGGAAGGAGACATTCCCTCCATGACAGGCTGGAGTTCTCTCGGAACAGCGTCTGGGATTTCTCCAGGAGTTTGATGATGCTGGCCAGGTTTCAGCGCAAGCTGATCAGAGACAAGGTCATATTTCTCCCAACAGTACTTGTGTACTGCCTGCAAACAGCCCTTCCAATCTTTGGTGGAAGCAAAACATCGCGAGAAGGTTTTGCAATGATATGGACATGGAGGTAAAAATCTATTTGACTGATGCTTGCACTTCAGCTTGAACCGCCAATCATTGAACCGCAGAAAGAGTTTGAAACGGTCATTGGGTTCCAACTCCAGCAGGAGTGGTGGGGTGACATTTTCTCTCGTCCAGCCACTAGCAGACGCCCTGCTTGAACTTGGCCGCTCTGGAGGACAAGGAGGTTCAGCTGCAGCAGCATTGAGAGGAGCACCATGATTTTCCACTAAATTGGGGTGGAGGCTTTCCACTTCAACATGTGGTAAGTGAGCAGGCGGTAAGGCAGCAGCAGGCTCAGGTGGTGGGCTTTCAGGTGGCGGTGGAGCAGGAGGCCCTTCTGGATCAGGTTGAGAAGTCTCACTTAGCGCAAAGAATCCATGGCTGATTTCACAGTCTGGTGGCACTCAGTGAACCATGACCAACAAGGCTTCCCAAAGATTTGCAGTATCTTGCAGTGTTCCCAATTCTGTTGGGACAGGGCCATGTATGCCAATTTCAAGCCTTTGCAGTTTTTCCTTAAGGTCTTGAATCCACTCTTCTGGTCATCTGGGTTATCCATTGAGTCACCCAAGTAGAACTCAAGAATCATCCGTGTGCCCAACCATTCACGCATGCCATCCTCTGCAGACTCCAGCCACGCATTCCAACGCGATGCTTTTGGGCAAGAACCTTTCCGCACAAAGGATGGCAGCTGCTTCAATGCCTCCCACACTTGACGTTGCTCCTCCACAGACCGGCATTGCATGTTGAGATCAGATGCCACTCTGTCAATGTATTTTTGACATAGCTTTGGCTCCTTGGCTGATCAAATCATTTCAAATAACAAATTCCAGACTGACAAACAATTAAGCCTGAGAAGTAGCATAATTAGAAATAGAGTCACAATAGAATTGACACGTTCAAACTAGAAAGCATTGAATAAGAATCTACAAGAGACCAGAAACTCTGCATTGAAAAATGCTTCTTTGGCTTCAACCTTCTCACTGTACCATTGTCCTGTCCCAAATGGTTTGTAGTTGATCGACCAAACATACCTGGCCACAAAAGACATTGGGTCGAAATCAATGTTGTGGAAACATAGCCCCAACATACATGTTCAAACGCTTGAATAACATATATTATACACTGTAAGTAACCAAGCAAGGGCACTGGCTTGCCAGCTGTGCTTGGCCAAGCCCACAGTGTTCAGACGCCAACTTCTGATCTCGAGCCAGCCGATGGAAGACATCAAAGTCCATAAACACAAAGGATTATGTCTCTTGCAAGAACGAGGCAAGGGTCAAATCAGTACTTGCTTGATCAACCAGCAATGTGAGCAAGGGTACATCGCATGTCGTTTGTAGAACATCAATGTCACACTCTTCAAAGATACTGATCTTGCTGTCTGCTGTGACAACACGATCCCGTTCATTGCCAGGCTCCAGCAAAGGTAACAACTCCTTTGGTACCAAAAAGTCAGCAAGTGTTTTGTCAACCTGTAGTTGGAGTTGATTACTCAATGCCTGGGCTAGCTTGTAGGTTCCCAGTCTTGCCTGTTCCCTTCTGGCCAGTATCCGCTCAAGGTGTTCTGTCTCAACGGCCAAATCATCTCCAGCAGTGACAATCTTTCCAGGCCACGGATGCTGCGAGACACCATAACATGCGGTATCTGTTTGGTAGGAATAGAATATGCTCAGCAAAGAGGCATCAGTGCAAACACTGATCCGAGTTGGCGTGGAGGATGAATACTGCTGAAGAGACATCCTACTCCTCCTAAAATACATTGCGTTGAGTTTTTGCTGCCAATACAGGGACGAACCAGCTGAAGCTCCATCATTTATCAGAGAAGCTGCTGTGTACATTGAAGCATTCTGCTCCCTTGCTTTCTCCAGAACTTTCCAGACTTCATCCACATGCAACCGCTTCTGTTGTTGGGCATTCTGATTTTGAGCATCAGCTGGCCTTCAGGGTTTCAGATTTTCCATATTCACATCTCAACCAGAGGACCCTAAGAAAAAAGAAGTCTGTTAACAACAAACATATACGTTCTTTGCCTGCTGAACTCTTTGCATGGTATAGGCTTGCCCAGAAAGAGGTGACCTTTCTGACGGATAGACAGCTCTAGAGCGTACGCCAGAAAATCCATGAGCCCATTCTGAAGCTTCTCAAGAAGGTTGGCGCTGCCCTCCTCCAAGATGTTTCGTTTTGCTGCCTTCTCACTCTCTCAACTGTCATGGCAAAGTGCGCTACACTGTCCAAAGGTAGCACTGGTGCAGACAAAGGTGTTTGAACCATTGAGTCCATTGAGATTTCCATGCTAGCTCGACCTGAGTGTGGACTCCTCGGACTACTTGACCCAGATTGCACACAGAGAAGGCACCATTCACAGAGAGACTCGGCTGACCATCAAGGGCTCGACCTGAGTGTGGACTCCTCGGACTACTTGACCCAGATTGCACACA